GTGGAATTCCTGACCTGACGTTTCTCGAGGTTGATAAGTAACTTCCGATTCGGACCTTCTGTTTCCTGTTCCGAAGTAATTATGTAATTAATGGTAAGTAATAAGGATTAATTTAAAGTAATTATTTACGTTTGTATTATGATGGCACGTCCTAAAAGTTCGGAAAATGTTTTACATCCCTATTTAAAGATACAATTATTATTATACAATACAACAATTAATTGTTGGCTATAATTCGACATGTAACTCTTAAGTGCATTTCCCTACATGGATGAACTGGCATTATAAATCTTAATAAATATATACTAGTATGCGTTTCTTCAATATACCAGTATTTTCACGCAACTGGCAATTTTTTTATTTATACGAATGTAAGTACGGAAAATTTCGAGGAATAAGAATTAAAAGTTCTGTAGGCCAGTCAAAAATATTTGCGTCTCAGCAAGGTCGCTGAGAAAACTCGTAAAACTATGGAAAATCACGAAAAAAGAGATTACACTACTCGTATGTATGCATTTTACTAAATAACTCGGTAATTATTGTAAGGGCATCCTGCCATAATTGTCATAGCCACATTGCTACTTTCCTTTTGAATTTTCGATAACACTCACACTTTGAGTTCTAATTTCCTTGTATTCTGTGCTATAAATAAATCTAATTTGGACTTAAGCACACGCACACAGATTTTGGAACAACTGCTCGCCACAGCCCTGAAAGTTTAATAATATGAGCTATTCACTTCAAAAAATAATACAACAAAAATTGGGACTTTCACCAATCATTAAAAAAATAATCTGACGAAATAAACCAAATCTGCTTTAGACTGCAGGGAACAACCGAAAATGTAGGGTATGTAGCACACGATGGGATGGCGAGTGATGTTCGATGTCTAAAAGCTTTAAAAGTAATGCTGAACAGCGATTTATGTTGATTGCGATTAAATATATAAAAGCCATTACTAATGTTTTATGACAATTAGCCAAACTAAAAGCGCAACCTAACTAACCCCAACCTGGACTAGGTCTAAGTTCCCGAACGGTCTTCCGACAAGTGTGGTAGGGTAGCGCATGTGAGTAAGTACTCGTATGTGTATGTGTATCGAAATAAGTATGAGGAAGGAAAGATCGCGCGCGGTCCTTGCTCCCTTGGTTGAGGTGCTGCTGCGGCATTCGCCTGGTGTTGATCTGAAGTCACAGAAAACTACCGATCAGAGCAGCCGGCCGCAAGAATTCTTCTCCAAACCGCGACTGAATTCGACCTAGCTGTCTAGCTAATGTCAAAAATTCTTCCAACGTCGGGACTCGAACCCTTGGGCCTCCCGGACAGAGGGACTTCTAGTGACATCAGTTGATTTCTCTACGTGACCTATGTCGGTTCTAATTTAGAATATAGGCTTAAATTGATGGAATATTAAGCAGCATTGGTCCATGAGAGAAACGTTAATTCTTTCTGTAGATACCCAGAAGCACGGGGAAAATATAAAAACAATGCATCAGTTTCGATTTTGACTGATAACTTGAAATAATTATATTCATCCGCAATTTCTCATACCTGATGTAGAACTGTATTCGCATACTCAGTGCGACAGTGCTTGCGACACCGCGCATGCGGGTGGCATGATCTAGGTAGAAAGGAGCTTCAGTATTCATGTGTGCCCTTTTGGAAAAATTTTTGCTGTTCGAACATCATATTTTCCACGCAATCGGACGCAACACTTTTGCTGCTGAAGGCCACAAGTCATGTTGTAAATGAGAAATGTTTTTTAAAAAATAAAATGCTTTGTGTCGGCTTTGTATATGTATGCGTACTGCATAGTTATAATCACATTCTGCAACTTTATTCCCTATATCAGCCTTTAAGTTAGGCTTCAAATGGGAGCATTAAGTGACATCTGCTCTAAATAATATGTAAACTCAATGTATTTTCTAAAAGAAAATTATAAATTTATTATCAAAAATTATTTTAATGTCACCTAATTTAATTTAGATGGTATATTTGCTATCTGTAAAGGTTACAGGTATGATTTTAATACGTAGAGTGTTTAAAAAAGGTATGCACAACATGAATCGTCATAAAAAACGTACTTACACGTTCAGAATTTATAAGAAAATTAATAAAATGATTCATCAATAAGTGAAAGAATCGTCAATCTAGCTATGCAAAATTGCAAGTATACGTGTGAACTTTGAAGAGCGAAAACAGGTAATCAAGTTATACTGGACGTTTGAGAATATTGCTGCGGCTCACAGCCAGTGTACATGTGAGTATGGTTCTGGTACACTTTTATTGTTAACAATTATCGATTACAGGACAAGTTCGAAGTTTGTGGAGTGTGTGATATATATAAAGTGTGATCAGGCCGGCCACAAAAAAGTTCAAGAGAAAGGTCACATGTGAGTGGTGTAAGACCTAGTAGTGCATTATGCATTCTGAAGAAAGGCAACTTGCGTTGGTAAATTCCATGTCTGGTGTAAGAGCTAACGACGACCCATATTGCAGGGTATGGCCTGCAGCCGAGGTCGCTAAGTCTATAGGGTTGTCTCGACTTGAATGGTCGCGGGTTCTAATCCCTCCTCGGGCATGGATGTTAAGTGTGTGCTCGTGTTATCCTCAGGTTTTATTCCTCCCCCCCCCCCCGCAGTTGCCTCAACGCAAGTAATTACAGTGGTCATTACAAGACATAGGAGGTGAAAAGCTACCTTTAAAAAATTAAAAATAGCAAGGTACGATTCTTTGAATAGGTTCAAAGAAATGGTTACACATGAGTCGGAATTTATGGGTAGCATTATTTGGTGGGATGAAGCACAATTCGTAATAAATGGAACTATCAACAGGCATTATTCTGTGTAGTGGGCTGAAGATAATCCCCACTTTACTGTCCAAAACGCTGTGGATTTCCCTGATGTAAATGCGTATTGTGGTTTGTCTCCTATGGAAATCATTGGACATTTCCATTTTAAAGTTTCTGAAAGTAGCTTTAAATTCCTCCTGATACAATTTTCCCTGCCATTGTTGCAATGTACGCTAATGACTAGTTTTATTCCCAACAAGATAAAGGCGCGCCATGCTATTGTACGGATATTTGAGCTTACGTGAATCAGACTGTACTTGACCGGTGAATACGACCCATGGGACCACTCGAGTATCTTGTACGCTCTCTAGATCCTACGCCGCTAGGACTTTTTAATGCGACAAAGCAAAGGATGAGGTGTACCGCTATAGAGCACGTAATCTGGACATTCTTTCGGGATGCGATTCGAGGGCTATGCGCAGAAACCCTATTGGACACTTCGGTGGGAGGTATGGAATCATTTGCGACTCATACCCATAAATGTATTGATGATGAAAGCTCACTAGTTTAAACGTGTAACTTAACCATTTGTACCAGTCATTTCGTCTAGAAAGTACATTAGTTTTTTAATTGAAGTTTAAAACTATTTTTACTATAAATTAAACATCTTAGTCAGGAAAATAAATTATCTAATAAGATCAAAAAAGCGAATACATTGTTTTAAGGATCCTGAATTAGGTATAGTATTAGATATATAAATGATTCATAGTATATCATTTTGATTGGAGATCTTTTGATTAGAGATTGAGCCGTGCCCGTCAGTGAGGAGTGTGTGGCTCGAACATTCGTGTAACCATGTAACAATGCTAGAAAACCGAACTGCAGCTGGAGGCGAATCATGTGGACACTAATAAAACACGTATCATTTGCACAATATTGTAATAAATAAGGAAATTATTAATAAAGGGAATCTACGATTATTATAAACCCAACCATCGATCCTCCTCCGAAGGGTTGCATGCTGATTTAATAATCCCACAAGGATGTCCTACGGTATTGGCGAGAATTTTAAAAACCTTTCTAAGAAAGAAGGTGCCGCAATATTTCAATAAATATAGACTTATATTCCAGCAGCATTGTAATTGTAGCATCTTTCTAAAGGAGGTTTTTAACTTGGCTATTCAAGTGGGTATTATTTGATACCACAATTCTTTATCCCCACGACAATTCAATTTATATAGTAGATGCAAGAGGTACTGTGAAAACTATATGTAGTAAATGCTTCCTTGCAGATACTCTGAAACTTATAGGTGCTTCAAACATTTGAATATTCAGGCTTTAAAAAGGTTTTATAGAATTCTCAGCAAAAAATAGAAGAAATTGAATATTGTCTGAAGAAACTGGAAATTGGCACCGTGAGTATATTATCACCGCTACTTTTCAACGTCGTCGTAATTTATTTTGTTTTTGCTTTTTATAAATTGACAGTCGACCACTTATCTCTATACGAGACATTTGCAATCATTTTAAAAACAAGATACAACCTTAAATCAAACAATTTGACACATGCAAAATGAAGGAAATGGAAGTCGTTAGTGGCAACAAAAGGTATTTATTTCCTTAAGCTTGAAACAGCAAAGTTACCGTATATTTATAATATTGTTGTTATCATTAAAAGAATTAATATAATATAGAAGTCAATACGTTAACATTTCTCTGGACGTTGAAGATTCAGATGCACATCAAATTCTGCATCCATTATTTTAACATAATAATTGAATGAAACCAAGTTATGGAAATAAAAACGTGTCATATATTAAGAACTTATTTCTTTCAAAGCATGTATTAGTATTATTTGTTATATCTTTTGCTTAATTTCTAATTTTCGTAACCGGGCAAATACTTCAACGTCTCTCCAAATCTGAGAAGGAAGTGTCTCTCGGGATTATGTTCTTTCTTCTCCCACATCTCAAGGGCGAGGAGTTCTGTACGTATACATCCCTTCATTTTTCTCCTCGAAAAACGAGTTGCTGGGAAAGGATGACAGGAGGTGATTCTCGACTCTTCGATTCTAAATGTGGAAAGTACTTCCATTTCTGCTCTACAATGATTAGTGACTCCTCACTTTCAGGAAGATGAGGGATGTTAAAGATTTGCAGAAAGAGCAGGTTTTTCAGTTTAAGCATTTTCGAAATGTCTACAGATGTTTCAGTACAATGGAGCTTTACGAATTAATAATTACTCAACAACAATAATTAATATTTATTATCATGTAAACCAATAATGTGCAGATGTGACAGACCTCCAGAAGAACGTACTATCATGAACTGAGCAAGATAAACTCCTTAAGTTTGAAACAGCAAAGTTTCCTTATATTTATAATACTGTTGTTACTGTTCGATCATTAAAAGAATCAATATAACATGGATGTTCTTGAGTTTCGGTTTAAGTTTAGACAAGAAAAAAGCCCTTCAAAGGGGACCAAAATGTCCTGGAAGAAGTCCATCGTGCAAGTACTTCCATTCTCGTCCATTGTATTTATCCATCTCTCTTCCCTTTGCGTCTCACAACCTCTCGTCGATAGGTACCCAGCAAGTTTCCCCCTTCATTTTTAACGAGGTCACCTGCAACCAACATTTATACATTGTTTTAATTGCCAATTATAAAATTGGTAGTATTTACAATTATATTTATGATGAGTCAAAGAGCAGGATATGTTGTTGTTGTTTTTTTTTTTTTCAGTGAAAGAAAAACCTCTTGTTCCTTACATTATTTGACCAGTACCTCCCATCAAATTGTGACAAACTTTCATTCTCCAAGACATTAAAAAATTGCCATCGCAACATATTATATTTTGCTATTGCAATTGTCATTTATTTTACGTTATTTTGCACAGTTATATTGTTTTTCCTAGGCAAAAACGTCTTAAAATAATTAAGAACATGATTGGTTTGGAGTATTCAAAGAACTAATTTGAAGTTTCTAGACATCTCTAGCAATGGGTCTAACCAAGCCCAAAATTACCACTCATAAGTTGACGATCTGAAAGATTGCGTTGATTCTTAGTAATCTAGAGAATAGATTTTATTAAAAATATATTTTTATTGCAGAAAGTGTGTGTATATATAAAGAAATTTAAAAAAAATATATCACCATCCACCCAACCATCCACCGAACCATCCAACCAACCATCCAACCAACCATCCAACCAACCATCCAACCAACCATCCAACCAACCATCCACCCAACCATCCACCCAACCATCCACCCAACTATCCACCCAACTATCCACCCAACTATCCACCCAACTATCCACCCAACTATCCACCCAACTCTATAGCATCGCTTTTCAGATCCTTCCCACCTGCGGACAAAGGCCCTGCAGCGGATTTGCACCCGAGCGATATACCGGGGGCTTAACTCGGGCGCGGTGCGGCGCGGCCTGCCTCCAGCCGCGTTCTTCGCCCCCTTTCGCATATTCATCAGGACGAGCATAGGTAGAGCGAGGACTACGTTTGGCGGTGGGAGTTGCAAAGTCCGGGCACCACTGCGCTGCGCCGCGCCGCGCCGGGCGATGTCGGAGCTGAAATTGCATGTGCAGCTGGCGGCGACGGCAGGGGAAGCGTGCGGTTGTTTACAGACGAAGCGGAAATGCTGGAGTGTGAAATGAGCGCGGCATGTTGGTGGTTCACGCGGGTGCGGTGCGGCTATGACAAATTGGATGCGATAACTTGCTTGTCGACGGCTGCTTGAGTTTGTGTGCATGTTGATCTGCTGGTGAGGTGTTGTTGGCATTGTATGAATAATTCAAATTGATGTCTTCACTTACGGGTTTGTTCACGGCGACAACAATTTTCGATGACTAAACCATCGGAAGATCCAAACCGAAGGATTAAAAACGTTCATGTAGACATCAATATCGTGTCATCGTATTTGTATATTTTAATGTAAATATGCATTATTAATTAAGTTTTCTCTGTTGTAGAGAAAAATATTCCATTCCAAATTACAGGTGTCTTCATCAAGAATCCAACCGCCCAATTGTTTCCTACGTGCTTTAGTAAAGGAACAAGAAGTACAGACAGGTACCGCACTTCATACCAAGTGCTAAATAAAACAGGAAAGCTAATTTATAAGATATCATTACATGAATGTTTAACATATTTTACCAAATATTCTGACGTAGTTAATTTGATCTGAGGCCACTTGATTATTAACATTCACGCTCAATTTTTAGAACCCACATTATATTTCTAATTATAGTTTTAATAATGTGGTTTTTAAATATTATTTTCATTTTATAAAAATATATATATAATCATTCATTTAAAAAGAATTGTTTCAGGGGCGTGTCAAACGTGTCTGCACGAGTTGTTTGCCTGCCTGGGAAGCCCAGCGTTACCTGTGACATTCCCCCAACTGCACTCTCATTTCCCCCAAATACAGAAAGTCGTGTAGCTGTGACGGGAAAAGTAAGCACAAAGCGCACTCGTAATATCATGCCAAATTGTTGCCTTATATGAAAACGTGTGCCAGTCGTTTTTAGCAAACAACCGGGATTTGAATTATGTTTGTACTACTACACTGTATCAGCAAAAATTCTGCAGAACAAAACACACAAAATGGTTCACCAGAAAGTAGCACGCACACTGCTCAAGAACAACAAATAAAATTTTCTCGTGCAACACTGCAATACATTGAGTAATGAAAACTGTCTTCACGAATACCAACATTGTATAAGAATATGTACGGATAAATGGTACGACAGTCCTACATGACAAGGATACATTACTGTTCTATAACGCAAAACGTGATATTTATGAGACACATTGAATGGTTGACGACCTATTCCTTAGCCTTGTCGTCGCATGACAAGCTTTTGTACGCACGAGCGCACAAGATAAGAAAAGTCCGTCATCCCGACAGCCCTAAGGGCCCCTTCCCACGGCGCGGCCGCGGCGCGCTTCGCAGCAGCGCGGGGAGTAGCAGAGCATTGGTTTGAATGGAGGCCTTCCCACGTGCAGCGGGTGGCGGCTGCTGCGGAGCCGACCCCGAACTCCAGCTACGCGAAGCGGAGGAGGGGCCACGCGCCACCTCTAGCAGAACACAGCTTTAAATGGGAGCCTTCCCACTGCGCCACGCCCGCCGCGTTCTTCCTGCTCCGGTCCCTTTGTTCGTCGTCACCGGAGGGTCGGCGAAACCTACCCCTCCAGACCCCATCCCCTTCCACGGTGGGCGGCGGTGCGGCCGTGGCTCCGGCGGTGGCTGTGTCGGAAGGGCTCTGCTGCTTGAAGGAAGCGCGCCGCGGTCGCGCCGTGGGAAGCCGGCCTTAGAATAGGTGGAATATCACCATCAAATATTTGCATTTTTTCAGTCCAAATAGAAACTGTTTCGTTGTTACTGGATATTTCACAACTTTGCGGCTATCTATCGAAAACTTTGACATTTTTCACATGACCAGATGCATAGTTTTCTTTCAGTTTCTGATCGCATTGGAAATTAATAATACAGATACTTAATTACTTATTGCTTTATTTCATTTTCTTAGAAATTTCATTAAATGATTAGTTTATTATTTTTAAATGATTTGTTGTATACACCAATAATGTGAAAAAAATATAGTATTTATGTAGTATATCTCCTAGAGTAAAACCTCTTGAAATTTATGAAACTACTCTTCGGGGTGGACACACGTGCAAAGGTGGCTCAGTGCATGTCACTGCCGTAGAAATCCGACGGTGGCCGGATTTTCAACACTAGCTTGTCAGCAAGGTCGAATTCAGCGCTTATATGGAGGAGAATTCTAGCGGCCGGCTATTCTGATGGGTAGTTTTCAGTGGTTTCCCTTATCAACAGTAGGCGATTGCCGGAGCAGTACCCTAACAAACAGGCCACGGATCGTGCGCATTCTTTCCTTTATCTCCCTTGACATATTCTCGGCTTGCGTACACACATGTACATACACTAGACCGACTTAAATGTCGGGAAACCACTCAAAAGCTGTCCCGGCTGGGGCAGTGCGACGGTGGTGGAAGATACCTGATTGAAGAAAATCTATTGACGTAAACCTGCGACAGATCTCGCCAACCAGCGGGGAAGATCAACGCTATCTCACGAGGAAAAAACGTACACTACACTTATGGGGCTAATGACGCGCCCGGCATCACAAATCAATAAAGGGATTTTTTTAACAGCCAAGAATCTTTGTTCTTACCTTGAAAGTAGAAGTTAATGCAATTATTTTCTCTTTAAGTAGACGCGGTTACGAAGTTCACATCCTTTCGATTCAAAAGGTTTAATTTTACTCGCAACTGCTATGTTCAAATATTACTGACGTATTTCATTTAAGGGGTAATTTCGTACCATCAGTAGAAGAAATGAATATTAATACCTCCAAATTCTATGCAATAACTGTCAACCATTCTCTCCTAACAGACTGTCCTATGATATGTATCCAGTGAGGAACCGCCGATACTGAGAAATTGGTAGAATTATCTCTTTTAAAATTCACGGCAGCTGTTCTGGACTCAGTGCCTGCAAACGCTATGAAGCTGGTTACCCTGCCTGCGACCTTGACATGCCTGTTTCATATAATCGTATATTCAAGTAATTACATAGACAATAGTTAATGTTTTCCGCATGAAACATCGTGTCAGTAAATGTCCCAACGTTCACCCAGTCACCAGCGCGGAAACCACAGAGGTTAAACTACAATTGGTGTTCCATTGTTTGCACTTAACCACATACATGTACACCTAGCATTTGGTGTTCTAGGCATATTTCACGGGTTCACAAATCTACCGAATTTCGTTCGTAGTCTATTTACATTTGAATTCATTGTGCGGTGAAGATTAATACCCGAGATTTCTGTAGTATAATTCTCTATGATCGATATTTTCCCCACTTCTGTCGTCTGCGACAGCGCACTTGACAACGAGGAATAGGGTATTCGAGTGTAAATAATGGTATCTGGAATTTTCGGCAAAATGAAAATTCCTTGTTTCTATAAAGAAAAGGCAGTAACTCTCCCGATATTCTAAACGAAATAAAGATATCGCAATTGTAATTGGAATGGTAATGAAAATTCATTCGTACATTATGGCTCAGGCGGTTTGTATCGTATGAATACAATTGCAATATCGAACGAAACAACATATTACATATTATTACTACAAAGGCCGGGTTATAATAAAACTCGGTAAGGTAAGACTCGGTAAGATTCTTAGGAATGGCGAATTGACAAATTTGGTATCTAAAGCAGGATGAAACTGAGGGAGTGAGCGTGTGATAATTGTTTGTCAAAAAGCTTAGACACATGCTACAAAAGTACTTGAATATTTTTTTTTTTCAAAACATGCGAAAACAACTTCTAAATATAAAAAAAAACTTGAAATTAAAACAAATTATTCAAAAGCAGGTTTTATTAGAGTCGTCCGTTACTTTATCTCGCAAATTGTTGAATGAAGAAATTTCCGACACCTAAGAATAAATGTGGATTCGATTTTGTTTTTAATTTCAAGTAATTTTTATAATTCGACGTCAGTCTTACATTTATTATATATTGTTTCGTTTTTAACGTTTTGGTGTTACTTGTGGAAAAAGAAATGCTTATTTTACCTTTGTAACGACTCCCTCTACCCTCGAGATGTCTTGCAAAGTTTCAACACTACATTAATAAGGTGTAGTCATTCGTGCAAGGAACGTCCACCAAATCGAGTAATTGGAATTGCTTCAAAAATTAGAACACTTTTTTTAAACATAAAAACTAAGACATTTTCTGCTGCTGAATCATCCTGTAAAAATAAATGTTTTCGGACTTTTCTAGCCCTTTAAAGGAAAAATTGCATCGAAAGTTCTTGTAATAAACTCACTCTGCTCCAGAAAGAACATGTAGTTCGACAAAATTTCATAAAGAAAATCTACATGACAGACAAGTTGTTAGTTTCACTAACTCTACTAATTACCTCCATCGTAAATTTATATTATCCATATTCTTTTCACAGGGTTCAATCCGTAATATGAATTGACTACATTCCTTGAGCTCATCAATAAAGGGAAATAATTTTAAGTAAAATAGAAAAGGAAAGAATTAAGAGTAATATCTAGTATTCGTATCATCCCAAAAGACTCGTGATTATTATAATAATATCTCGAAAGTATGATGATACATTACTTAGTAAGAGATCTTACTTTATTTCCACCTCTTACCTACACTTATTGTAACAAACGTATTACGAAAAGTATAGTACTTAACTGACAAACTAGTAATATAACATAATTTCAGGGCAACATCTTAGCACGATAACGAAAAAGTCGAATGGGTTGAAATGCTCGATTTTGTGCAAACTTATATGGACAATGACCTGTACGTGGAAATTCTAAAGCGCAATCTATACTACAATTTAAACGTAGTGACACCAAGGTCACTAGCTAGACAGAGACTAGGACACAGTCATCCAATCTGGAGCTTCCATACGACTTCAATTTTTTGTATTGAAGCTCTCGTCTGGATGACAATGTGACCCTCTCCTTCATGCTCGTGACCTTGAAGTGTCACTTTGTTTAAATCAGGGTATAAGAAACGGAAAATAATAT